GTACTCAAGTCGATCTTCCGATTCTCATACGCCGAACGAGTTTGCCCGAGGAATTCTGCCAAGTTTTCACACTTGTCCGAGAATTCCTGCACTCGTCTGTACCGAGAACTCGACCCGTCCGAGAAACTTCGGTTCTCAAGTCGAACATCTGTTCAAGAGTTTCCCGCCTAGCCGAGAACTCTCTCCAGACCCGACGCGTCCGACTCGCATCCTTGTCCGAATTCTCGGCCAAGTTTGCTCGTTCCGTCCAAGGAACTCGGCTCATTACAAGCCAAGGCCCGACACTTCCCGCAACGGTCCAGACTAGCCCGGATCCTAGTCTCGGTCCTCCCAGCGAATCTCGGACTTCTCCCAACAAGTCCGAGCTTTCCGACCAATCCCAGACTTTTTCCAACAGTCCGAGGTTCCCGACCCGTACAGTCCGCCATATTCCGCACCTTTACACGGCTGTACGGAGTGTCACGTACCATCGGTCGAACCCAGCGACTAGGTGTGTGACATTTTTGGGGGCTTAGGGATGACGTTCGGCTCGAGGTGAACCGAAGGGATCCGCGGACGCTGGACGATGCAATCGCCATTGCCGAGTCAATCCCGGACTCCGGACGTCCACCGAGGCCAACGCAATCCCAAAGCCATCCCGAGCCACGTCCCGAGCCACGCCACGAGCCTCGGCCCGCTGCCTTCCAAACACGTAAGGGTCCTTACAAGCCTCCATCCAAGCCCCCTTCTCCGTGTTTCCATTGCGAATGCCAAGCTCACGGCCATCATGGGCCAAACCAACGGTGGAATCAAACACCTTGGTCATATGGCTTCTCCGGCTCCAAAGTCAAAGCCCGAGGACGGCGGCCTCCTCTACACGGACGTCAACATTTACGGTAATATCTTACCCGCTATGTTAGACACCGGCGCGTCCCTTTGCTTCATTGACGCAGGAATCGCAAAGATGCTCAACCTAAAGGCGGACCCGAATGGTGGTACCGTCAAGGCGGTCAATTCCCCGGCCCAAACAGCCACGGGGATTGCTCGGAACGTTCGGATCCAGATTGGAGATTGGGACACACGTCTCGACTTCATGATCCTCCCCATGGACGATTTCAAACTCGTTTTCGGCCTTCCCTTCTTTCGGGCAGCCAACATGCAACTTTCGGCGTCGCACAAGTCCCTCATCATCTTGGACGACGTGCAACCGACCATTGTCCCTCTTCGGTGCGTCCCGAAGGGCGTTGCTATCTCGGCCTTACAGTACAATGATCCTCCCCATGGACGATTTCAAACTCGTTTTCGGCCTTCCCTTCTTTCGGGCAGCCAACATGCAACTTTCGGCGTCGCACAAGTCCCTCATCATCTTGGACGACGTGCAACCGACCATTGTCCCTCTTCGGTGCGTCCGAAAGGGCATTGCTATCTCGGCCCTACAGTACGATGGTCCGACCAAGATGGGTAAGCCGACTCAATCTCGACGTTCATCGCCTCTCCGGCAGCCCCCATCAAGGTACGCGACCATGTACTCTTCTCGGCCTCGCCCCAAGTCTCGCCCACAGCAGCAACTCTCGGCCACATCACTCGGAAAGATGGCCGAGACAGTCCTCTCTTGCCGCGAGTTCTCCCCGACCCAACGGGAGTACTTGATTCAATGGAAGGGCGAACCACATTGGGAGAGCACTTGGGAAGCTTCGGACCATTGCCAAGGATTCGCGGGACTTATCCGCGAGTTCGAGGCCAATTGGTTCTAACCCCTTTGTTTTGCAGGACGACCATTTCAATAAGGCACAACGGGGACGTCGCACGTTTAAGTGGGGGAGAATGTAAGGGAGAAACTTTTTGCGTCTATTTCTCCCTTCCCATGAACGTCCCATGGTTCCTTGGCGGGTCTTCTCACGTTCGGACATCGCTTCTCGACCTCAGCCATCCTCTTGGACCATGCTCGGACCATGACTGGAGACCTCGGACCTTCCTCTCCCTCGGACCATCGAAGAACTATCCATGGACGAACCAACCTTATCCCCGGCTCACTTGGAGAATCACGGACCACGCCTCTTCGGACCAAAGTCTAGTTTTGGACAGCCCACTACTTGGACTTGAAGAGTGACGACTTGGGCTTCCTTCCCAACAAGCCCAAGTCCTTTGATCAAGCCCATTGGTCTCTCACATGGCCAAGCCCATCAGCCCTCTCTCGGCCCATTCGCATGGAGCCCTCATTTGGTCCAGATTCATCCGAGTGCAAGATAAGGAAAGTATCATTGATTGATTGGATCTTGTCTTTTGTGTATGGAATGATTGAGTTAATCACCCGATTGTAGGATTGATTGATTGTCAATCAATCAATCTCGGATTTGTGGCTTTCCCTATGTGCTTCGGACCCTTAGCCTATAAAAGGGACCCCAAGCTCATTTGAGAAGTCATCCGGAAATCTTCTCTCATTTCTCTCTTGGCCTTTTCTCTCATTCCGCCGACGGTCATCTCCCTTGTAAGACCGCCGGCGTCCCCTTGGTTCGTTTTGCCACTTAATAAAACCGTCCTCGTGTTTTGGATTCATCTCGACTTGTCCCTTTGTTTCTCGTACGCCGAACGAGCTTGCCCGAGGAATTCTGCCAAGTTCTCACACTTGTTCGAGAATTCTTGTACTCGTCCGTACCGAGAACTCGATCCGTCCGAGAAACTTCGGTCCTCAAGTCGAACGTCTGTTCGGGAGTTTCCCGCCCAGCCGAGAACTCTCTCCAGACCCGACGCGTCCGACTCGCATCCTTGTCCGAACTCTCGGCCAAGTTTGCTCGTTCCGTCCAAAGGAACTCGGCCCATTACAAGCCAAGGCCCGACACTTCCCGCAACGATCCAGACTAGCCCGGATCCTAGTCTCGGTCCTCCCAGCGAATCTCGGACTTCTCCCAACAAGTCCGAGCTTTCCCGACGAATCCCGGACTTTTCCCAACAGTCCGAGGTTCCCGACCCGTACAGTCCGCCATATTCCGCACCTTTACGCAGCTGTACGGAGTGTCACGTACCATCGGTCGAACCCAGCGACTAGGTGCGTGACATATTGACCCAAAAATTACGTCCCTTTCCCTCAAATAGAATCAAACACTCAACTTTAAAATACATTGCACTCTATATTGACCATTACATTATCCATCAGTGGGTTTTAAAAACTCACATTGCATTGTAGAGAAATCACAAAGTCGCCACATATATATATATATATATATACATTTTGATCAAGCCCATTGGTCTCTCACATGGCCAAGCCCATCAGCCCTCTCTCGGCCCATTCGCATGGAGCCCTCATTTGGTCCAGATTCATCCGAGTGCAAGATAAGGAAAGTATCGTTGATTGATTGGATCTTATCTTTCGATTATGGAATGATTGTAATTCGCCCGATTGTAGGATTGATTGATTGCCAATCAATCAATCCCGGATTTGTGCGTTTCCTTATGAGTTCTTGGACCTTAGCCTATAAAAGGATTGTAAGACCGCCGGCGTCCCCTTGGTTCGTTTTGCCATCTAATAAAACCGTCCTCGCATTTTGGATTCATTCACTTGTCCCTTTGTTTCTCATTTCGTCTTCTTTTCGATTCTCGTACGCCGAACGAGCTTGCCCGAGGAATTCTGCCAAGTTCTCACACTTGTTCGAGAATTCTTGTACTCGTCCGTACCGAGAACTCGATCCGTCCGAGAAACTTCGGTCCTCAAGTCGAACGTCTGTTCGGGAGTTTCCCGCCCAGCCGAGAACTCTCTCCAGACCCGACGCGTCCGACTCGCATCCTTGTCCGAATTCTCGGCCAAGTTTGCTCGTTCCATCCAAGGAACTCAGCCCATTACAAGCCAAGGCCCGACACTTCCCGCAACGATCCAGACTAGCCCGGATCCTAGTCTCGGTCCTCCCAGCGAATCTCGGACTTCTCCCAACAAGTCCGAGCTTTCCCGACGAATCCCGGACTTTTCCCAACAGTCCGAGGTTCCCGACCCGTACAGTCCGCCATATTCCGCACCTTTACGCAGCTGTACGGAGTGTCACGTACCATCGGTCGAACCCAGCGACTAGGTGCGTGACATATTGACCCAAAAATTACGTCCCTTTCCCTCAAATAGAATCAAACACTCAACTTTAAAATACATTGCACTCTATATTGACCATTACATTATCCATCAGTGGGTTTTAAAAACTCACATTGCATTGTAGAGAAATCACAAAGTCGCCACATATATATATATATATATATACATACCTCGTGAGATTTCCATATATATATATATATATATCATTTTATGCTACAAGGAATAGGATCCTTCCACGCACAAACGCAAACCTCATGAGACGAGAGTTGCATAGCAAGCATGTTTCGTTTTTCTCCTTTCTTTTTTAACCCATCTTTTTTCCACCTTAATTACAAATCTGCCACCGTAACAAACGGTGAATCTGAATCTAACTGCGACCACGAAAAGAAAAAAGACGAAAAAAAAACAAACCGAGGGAACCAAAAAAAGAAACCATGGAGACATTGATTCCCTCCGTGCAGGATCAGATCTTCTGATCCCAACACACTTCTGGTCGGAACGGAGAACCAACGAGGGATGATTTCATCAAAATATGTCAGTAAAAAGCCCAATCTGCGTCTTTTTTTTTGGGGGGGATCAAGCGTTGATCTCTGAATTGCACTGGTGCTCTCTGCTGCAGCTTCTTCTTCCCCAAAACATCATGCTCGAGCATGTCGTCTTCTCCAGTCTCGGCCCTTCTAACTTCTCCTGCTCTGTCGACACGATCTGTGACCTTCTCGGAGTCAACGACTCGTCGGATTCTGCCCGCCTTTCCGTATCCTGAGTCTCAAAGTTCGGACATGGCCCATCATTACATGTGCAAATGGGAATGGCGACTGAAGGGAACGGGCTACACGTGACTGGACAGAGCATATCCGATGAGACGGAGGAAACCCGGGTTTTGCGTACATCTGTTGTCGGTGAAGATTGGTTGGTCATGTCCCGTGTGTGAAGCATGCAAGGCGTGCAGAACCCGAGTGATATCGGTAGCTTCATTTCTCTGGTTAAGGAGCTCGAGAGCCGGTTGAATGAGACGATCCCGTGTCTGCAGAGAGGGCAAGGGATTGAACCCGGAGGAGGGCCTACCGTCTCGGAAGGAGCGTTGCTCGTCGAGCATAGGTATAGAGCGCATCTCACACAGAGCTGATGACCGCAACCTGAAACAAGGCATGAAACCACAACATCTCAGCAGGACATTTGACAAGAACATTGAGGAGAATAATGAGTGGAGTTTAAAGACAGACCTTCAGAAGCAACACTACATGTCCTTTCCAGGCAAACAGCGCAGATATCAACATCATCTGCAATGATTGTTGACTGCAATCCAAACTCTCTGGAGCCAAGCCAAGAGAGTGGACAAGCAGCATCAGTATTATGAGAAACAATACTACACCATGATTCTTAGTATGTTATGGTCTGGTGACAGCTTTATGGATATTATTCAATCCCATGAAGGTTGTTGAGAGAGTGAGTAAAATTTTCGGACATGGAGACATTGAGAATATCTTGGTACTGAGATATCGTCCAAAGAAACAAGCTTGCTAATTCACGGGGCATTCGTTCGTCTATGAATCAAAGCAGAGGATATTCGGTTATCAACTGATAGATAGACCCGTGATTACCTTGCTATGTTGAGTATGCTCAAGAGTGGCAGTGATAAATAGTTGGAATGAGGAAATCGTGGAATGACAACATCTGAGTTAGGTGAAAGCAAGGGTTCAAGCCAATGACGTCCCCACATCCTAGCAATGTCAAGAGGTAGCCACCTACAAGCATTTGAAAGAAAGAACTTCCATTTGATTGAGAAACATCGAATATTTCTACAGCTGTATAATCGATGAAATGGGATTTACCCGTTGCAGTTCAATGTCATCCGGCTTGCACCTCTTGCAAGGAGAATCTGTGAAGAAACAGGCATGAAACGGGTATATGCTCATACTTTGCCTCTACAAATCTACGAATTATATATCGAAACCGAAGGGAAAATAGTTAAACTTTCTTACCTGACAACATTTCAGATTACCACCACATGCCGCGTAGTGCAAAGGCGTGCTTCCAGCTCCTGAGAGAGAAAGTTCAAAACATTCATTATGGGGACACGATACAAAGAATCTCTAGCCAAGAAAATCAACATGTCAGATAAGAATGGAACCTATCATATCCATTGATGTCCCATAATGAAATGTCACGGCGGAGACATTCGCCTCAAGATCAAGCAAAAGCTGAACGCAGTCAAAATACCCATTCAATGCAGCCATGTGAAGAGCTGTGATTCCACCGTCAGCTGCCTTATTCACAAACTTAGACAATGCACTGCATCAGATCAGATCAAACTACTCCATTAGATAACAACTTCAGGTATAAGAGCATTGAGAAAACATGTATTCTCCCCCATAGACAGAGATTGTATCAAAATGAAAGTTTTCAGCACACCTTTGCTCAGTTTTGCTCCTTGTTGTTGTGACACTGTCCCCTCTACCAGTTTCGGAGAGAGAATTTAGTTTTTCAAGAGGTGAGCTTGGTACAAAATCTGCCAAGACTAGCCTTATACACCTTGCATGACCATTCACAGCAGCGAAATGAAGAGCCGTCCTTCCACCTAAATAATCAGCTCTTGTAACCTTCAAAGAGAGAATACCCGTCAAGACATGAAGCAAAACCGAATCAACGAACGTAATCTTTCCTGATGAAAGGGAAACTCACATTGCAACGGAATAGCAGCAGAGTTTGCACTACTTCCCAATGCCCGTATCTGCAGGCTTGCATCAACGCCGTCTTCATCAAAAGGTTAAACATGGGGAAACAGGTTGAACCCGCTAATCAGAAAAAATCGGGGCTTTATGGATTTGAGCTTAAAAATGTAAATTTTCACTCAAAGTAGAATTCCTGAGTTAATGGGTAATATCTTAGCAGATGAGGATTGCTTTCTGATTTCTTCCTCAGACAAAGAGTTTCCAGATAATAAACGACACCGGAATTAAGGTAAATCTAATCGGAATAAGCTCAAAATTGACCAAAGATTTCACATTTTGCAGATATAAACCCAAAATCGAGGCAAGAAAATCAAACCCCATTACCTGGCCGCAATAATTCCTCGAATTCACATCAGCACCATTCTCAAGCAACAGAGCGACGATCTAACAACGAGAAACATCGCATAAAATCACTGATTCAACATGGAAAGACACAAATTATGGGCAATGGAGACGAAAGAGAGAGACCCAGAAAGGGGAACCTCGTTATGGCCTTTGGCGGCGGCGAAATGCAACGGAGAATTCAGACCACCGAAGGTGGAGTACTTGGCGAGACAAGGGTTGCAATCGAGCAGCATCTTCGCCTCCACGAAGTCACCATCTCTCGCCGCCGACACCAATCTCTCGCCGGACGCCGAACACCCAAACGAATTGCCCATCTCTCTCTCTCTCTCTCTCTCTCTCTCTGTCTCTCTCTCTCTCTGATTTCAATTGGGTGTGAGGAGAATTAGGTCAACCGTCGTGGAAACATACAGAGGGAAAGAATCGGGGGATTAGATGAGATACTGAAGCAGCACGCGATCTCTCTCTCTCTGCTGATCTCTCTCTCTTTTGTTGGCTTTTTGGGCATTGTTGGGGTTTGTAATTTTGTCCGTTTGAGACAAAAAGAAGGGATGAAGAAGCACAACAACACAACATAATACGAAATTCCAAATTTGCCCTTATCGATTGCCCCTCTTTCTTCGTCAGTTTGCACATTCGTCCTCCGTCCCATTCGTCCACGTGGCTTCCCACTATGAACCCCTCTTCCCTCTATTTCAATATTACTATTTCTTATTTATTCTATTGTTTTCGAGACAAAAAAAATATATATACACATATCGCATTCTTTTACCAACTCACATTTTGACCCAATTATAAAATGATTGAAATATTTTAAGCAAAAAAAAATGTTATGTTAAAAAGTCGGTCCACGAGTTAATTACGATAAGAAATCGTTGGGTTTCATTAAATTTGAATAGAGAATCTCATAGATTTGGTTTTTAAGAAATCTCTATATAAAAAATCTGGTCATCATAATTGGTTGGTAATAAGATTTAGACTTGACAAAGAAATCAATAATATGATCTTGTTTATAGATATCGGTGTGCTTGTATTTATGGCTGCATAGATACTTATGATATGATTTTGTGGAGTGGTTGGGATTTTGCAGTGACTATCTATCCTAGTGTATTATTAAATTTGTTGTGGAAATATCTGTATTATAAAATAAATAAATACGCACAATTCAACAACAATATGAAACTTTGGTCACAAGTCATCATTGAGTTGTGTCAGTCGAAAGTGTACACAGAAGATTGTGTCGGATTGTGTGTGGTAAAAAAATAAAATAAAAGGAAAACTTTGTAATTCATCTTTTTACAAAATAGAAAATTAAGGTAATTTCTAATAATAAGGAAGTGGGAAGCTATGAATGAGTCCGAATTGATATGTGAAATGGGTCGGGTTAAATGGTTCGACCCGATCCAATAAATAAGAAGTATATTTGGGTTTTTTTTAGTCATTTAAATAAATAGATTTAATGGGTCTAATTAACATTGGATAAATCGATTACACACAATAACTAGATGACCATTTTTGACTCGATTTATAACTAAACCGATCTAAACTAAATAACGCGAAATAAACTCCAAATCGTATTCCATTAAAAAATAAAATTTGTATATTTGATTATGAAATTAAGAAAATAAATTTTTTTTGGATCAAAAATATTTTATATATAACAACCGAATTCAAATAGAAACCTATTTGAATCAAATTCAAATAGAAACTCTAGAGTCGAGCGGTCTGAGATTGGTCCGGTTGACACCCTAGTTTTGTGCAGACCGACCACACGAGAAATAGCAAAAAAATGATCCAAATTATGTGAATTTACATTATACTCAAAACTATTTTTCTATAATCTGGAAATTCATCGAAGATTTAGTCTGATTATATATCTATCGAGGATATCCATGTGAATACTCTTCTTCAAATGAAAACTCGAACCCGAATTAGGAAGCCACCGTATTAGTATATTGTCCTCAAAACTTCAAGACACCGAACAAAAAATGAGAATTTTACCTTTTTACCGACAATAAAAAAACCTGTTGAGGTCACGTAAAATTACCAAGAAACATGAACAAATTCCAAATCATAACCCAATCTTTGATCTCCCGCTCGGGTTTCTTCGATTCAACCCTTCAGACAACCCTCCTCCGCAACACTGCTCCACTGACCTGTCTGCGGCCGTGTAGTAGTAACAGTAATGTCCATGAACTGACCTGTTGTGGCCATTGTTGTCCGAGAACTCGAGCCGTTGCCTCGGCGCGCTGACCGACCGCACCTTAGCCCTGCAAGACTCAGTTTTCACCATGTGGTTCGGGTAATACCCCCATGATGAGTACTCGCTCCTCGTCGGCTTGAGCGCAGTCCTCGGAGATTTGCTGTCCGAACGGTACGTTCTTGCGGGCAAGCGTGGCTTCCATGTATCGATCTCGAGTATCTTGTCCTCGCCCTTGTTGTTGTTGGTGTGCCATAGGGTTTCTTCGGACCAGTGGTCTAACCGGTTCGAGCCCGCTTGAGCGCGGTGGTCCATGGCGTTGGAGATGGACCGTGCGCCGAGGGAGGAAGGGAAAGA